GAAATTTTAGGCTTTAATAAACGATGGGAGGGAATCACCATGGAAAATTTGGAGTCATCAAAAGGGAATCACAGCCCAAGGTGGTTTGGCTCGGTGGCTAGAGCATCAGCCTGTGGACTGAAGGGTCCTGGGTTCGATTCCAGTCAAGGGCACATGCCTGGTTCTGAGCTTGATCCCCCAGTAGGGGGTGTGCAGGAGGCAGCTAATCAGTGATTCTCTCTCATCATTGATGTTTCTCTCTCGCTCCCTTCCTCTCTGAAATTAAAAAAAATAAGTAAAAGAGGACATAAACAAGAGATGCACACTACAGACTCGTGAGCAACTAATGGCAGAAATGCATTAAGTCCCAAACATTTGGTGATGGGCGGACAGAGAAGGTGGTGTGTGTTCACCATTCTTTTCACACGGCAAGCACAATGTTAGCGATGATGCCTCGGCAGAAATTCTAGCCGCTGGGGGAGGAACACGAGTCAGAGTCTGAGAAATGTATAATTCCGAACTGGAGTTTTGGGGCTCGGCTGATCGGGCCATCTGGGTGAGGAAACAACTGGAAGTCGGGGGAAGAACCACCAGGAAGGAACAGACAGAACAATCCCGGCAACAGAATTCCAGTCACTCTTAGTCATCCCTGAGCGCTCTGCCCCGGCCCTTCCCGCACTTTGGATAGATGTACCATTCAATCATCCTCTGTGCTGAACGTGGAAGCATTCGAGGGGATAAAGCACAGACAGCTTCACTTTGTCTCCCTCGGTCCCCTTCAACTGTTTTCAGCGTAGGAAGTCCAGAGAATTTTTGTTACCTTTGAGATAAGAAGAATCCCATGGTCATCACATGGAGTCACCAAGCCCAAAATTAGAATGACCAGGCGACTGTAATCGTCATAGCTTTCGATTTATTATGATAACTTCCCCTCCTCGCATTAGGGCTTAGTTACCAGTGGTGCCTGACCCAGGAAAGGGGTGTACCTGTTTCTCCTTCCACTCCTCCCCCGTTGCTGGCTCCTGTTCCTGGCCTCTGGAATTGGTGGGGAAAGGAAAGAGGGCAGAGAAGACACAAGCCTAGTGCTGACATTCTCTGAACTGGCTTTCCTTGGGGTGTTCTTGTAGGCGTTTCGGACCCTCTCCCCCCCCCCCCCCCCGCCCCTCCAAGCAGGGACCTCCCCTCTGCAGTTCCCGATGTGGGTAACGCACGCACCGAAGCCTTGTCGCTCGCTCCCTCTGCAGCTCCTGGGCCTCCCTATGTCTTCCCCCGTTACTCTCGCTGAAGACCTGTCTACCCACCGGGCAGACCTTTTGAAAAGGACCTCAAACAACCCCACTAGCTCGTTCGTGCATCCTTTTCTGCAGTGAATTCTGGCGGTGCCTGCCAGTTCCAGTGCAGGCCCTCCTCCGCAGTCAGCTCGTCTCGCGGGCTTCATCCTCGGCAGGTCGAAGCCAGGCGGCCAGCCGTCCGCTGTGTCCCCTTTCTTCAGTGGTTGTGTTCAGCTTCCCTCACCGGGCCTGGCTGAGTCACATCTGTCCATTCTGCCCCTTAGGAGCGGTGGCGTTCATAATACTGCTCTCTCCAAAGAAACTCTTCATTATCCTTTCTCCCTTCATCTCACAGCCAGTTACTTTTACACCTGATGTGGGGAGGGCCTTTGGAATTGAATAGCAAGTATTCAGGCATTTCCTTTGAAAATTTGCATCTTAGTCTAGCACCCTACTGTAGTGTCTGAAACTCACCCATTCTAGAGGCTTGGCTGAAACTTTCTTTTTGGCGTCTGGGTAGACTAATTTGCTTTGGCTTTGTGAACATTGTGGCCAAATAATCCTGATAACAGTCAACAAATATTTGCTGACCAGGTGCTGCGTGCAGCCACAAAGAAGTGCTTCCAGCCCGCGTGCGCCGAGCTGCCCCCTGGGACAGACCTTGTCAGTTGTTAGCCTGCTGGCTGTGTTCTGCCCATGGGCATATTCCCAGCCTTATAATCTTTAAATTCCCCTTGCATCTGTTGCCAGTATTTACAAACGGAGAGATTTTTATCTTGAAAGATCCAGATTCTTGGCTTTGAAAAAAACAGAAGATGTGGCATTGCTGGGCCCGTATCGCTGCCTGGCAGAGTTCGCTGTCAGCTGGAGCGGGTCGAAGCTGCCACTTAGACAAGGCGTGTGGTCTCCAGATGGACACCCTTCCCTCTTGGCTGAAGCCAGTGTCAGTTCCCACTTATCATCATTGAGCCACTCATAAACCTTTTCTTAATTAAAGAGTAAATGAAATGTTTCTGGTCATCGTGTCTCTTAAGAGAGCCGTGGAAGGGACGTAATTTCTTTAGAAATGCATATTAAACATTTAAGAACACTTTGCAATTAATGTGTGTGTGTGTGTGTGTGTGTGTGTGTGTGTATAAAACACAACTTAAGATGCCACGGAAAAGTAAACCACTGATAAGATTACCATACTGAGCCAAAACCGGTTTGGCTCAATGGATAGAGCGTCGGCTTGAGGACTGAAGAGTCCCGGGTTCGATTCCGGTCAGGGGCATGTACATTGGTTGCCGGCATATCCCCAGTAGGGGGTGTGCAAGAGGCAGCTGTTAGATGACTCTCTCTCATCGATGTTTCTAACTATCTCTCTCCCTTCCTCTCTGTAAAAAATCAATAAAATATATATTTAAAAAAAAAAGATTACCATACTGAAAATATGTGGTTTAAATAAGACATTTCAACAATTTTATTTTAATGCAACCAAAATAAAAAATGTGAGCTGCTATAGGATGGTATTACATTCTCTAACTTTCCTCGTTTATCTCATGTTCTTCCTTGGCCCCTGGCATTTGAGTTTGCAACAGGGAGAAACATTCTCTGGGCTCTCCGGAGGGAATCAGCCGAAGTGTGGATTCATCCTCCATCCGGCGGGCCCACGGGGGTCAACGCTCCCGTCTGAGGAGCAATAGCAGGACAGTTGCCACAAGGTTGTGATTTCCTAGGGGAAAGCGACAGGTGTTCGGCAAGTTAATGAAATTATCTTTTCCATGGAATGATTCAACAGGATTGTTGAGAATATTCAACTTTGAAAACTAACTTTTTGTAAATTTTGTTTTTGGTTTAGTTTTTCTATTGAAACCTTTTTTTTTCTTCTGTTTTTCTTATTTGAGTTCTGGTTCTTATTGAGCTAAGCCTCTAATCCATTTATCTGATTTAGAGCAAAACCAGGATTATTTTGAGGAAAGGATTTCATTTGCCTAAGCCTGTGCTCTGGGGAGGCAGGCCTCCTGTTGAGTTATGTGTCCTAGTCAGTGTCTTCAGTTGTAAGAAGAGGAATTATTCTCTCACCACAGCTTAGCTGCTTATGAAAGCACACAAGTGGCCGAGACCGGTTTGGCTCAGTGGATAGAGCGTCGGCTTGGGGACTGAAGGGTCCCGGGTTCGATTCCGGGCAAGGGCATGTACCTTGGTTGCGGGCATATCCCCAGTAGGGGGTGTGCAAGAGGCAGCTCATCCATGACTCTCTCTCATTGATGTTTCTAACTCTCTATCTCTCTCCCTTCCTCTCTGTACAAAAGCAATAAAATATTAAAAATAAATAAATAAATGAAAGCACGCAAGTGTGGCCTTAGTCAGGGTTGCAGAATGACTCGGGGAGGGACCTGCCTGTACGTGTGACTTTCCTGACTTGGTCATTCATTGTTCGCTGAAGTCTGAGTTCCTCGAAGGCCTTGTTGCCTAGTCTTTTCCATGTAGTTGTTTGGTCTTGAGTGTTCTGTTTTATGTTCATATGAAGCTAGGTCAGCTGAGAACTGCATTCATTGAACCCTTATTTTGATGAAGCCAATCAATCATTGAACCACAATCATTGAACAAAGTTATAAGAAACAATTCTGTGGCACTTCCTGTATTTTCTGTCTACAAATATTTTTGGGGACACAGGGGGATTCCTTCAAGTCTTAGTAACTGATTCTCCGGGTTTATTTGTGGACACTGTAAAGCGTTTATATAAATTCTTTGCATTTAGTTTTAGCTGTGAGAAATCTGGGGGAACAGATCTTTAATCCTTCTCTGGCAAGCACAAAGGCCTTAGGACATCCAGTATGTGTATTTTTGTCCTGGCTGCATTTTATTATTTTTTCTTAAGCTTATTTACTTTTTGGCTCCCTTATTCTTTTTAAAACCTTGTACTTCATACAGTTTGTTTTTAAAGCTACTTCAACTTCATTTTAGAATGAGGCAAGATATAAAGAATTAAAGTATTGACAATTTTTCATTTCTTACAAACATTAATTTGTTTTTTGGATTTTATTTTAGATTTCCTATTTCTTATGTGATCAGATATATCAATTCTTTTTTATTGATTTTTAAATTTATTTTTAGAGAGAGAGGAAGGAAGAGGGAGAGAGAGAAACATCAATGTGAGAGTGAAACACCAATCAGCAGCTTCCTGCACACCCCCTATCGGGGATTGAAGTCACAACCCAGACTGACTGGGAATCAAACCAGCAACCTTTCAGTGCATGGGACGACGCCCAGCCAACTGAGCCACACTAGCCAGGGCAGATCTGTCAATGCTTTGTGATTGTCATGAAGAGAATCATTGACATGGATTTGAGACCCCTTGGCTGCCATATCTTCTTCCCATAGTTAACGTGGCTGATTGCGCAAAAATGGTTCTTAGAGCTTAGAGGAAGCAGAGGTTATTTCTGACCCTTTTACTTTTCCAGGGGTCCGGTTTTGTGGTTTTCTTAGTTTAAGTTTCAAGCCCCACATTTAAACAGGAAGGCAAGTATAAACCAGCAGTGGACTGGTCCACCTAGGCGTCCTGGGAAACACCTGGCTTGAACGTGGTCCTTCACCAAACAGGTGGTCAGTGGGGTTCTGGGACGGAAGTTTAGCTGTGGCTGTGTATGTGGATCTGTTCCCCGAAGCAGGCGTCTGTCCCCGAGGTGTAGGTCCGGGGGAGGACAGCGGCCAGTGTCGGCAGCGGCTTGCCTTCGGTGACGTTTTCTGCTCTCTTTTCTTTTCCAGAGTACGATCGGCTGGGCTTCCTCCTGAAGCTGGACTCGAAACTGTGAGTAGGAGAAAATGCCTGTGGGTGTTGGGTTCCCGGGGGGCCTCAGTCCTCAGTCTGTCAGCAGAGTTTTAGAGTACGTTAGAGTCTGCAGGGGCCTGGGAGGGTGGGAGTGTGGGTGTGCAGGAGGCCTTAGATCTGGCTGGTGCAGGCAGCCACTGAGAGGAGTTTGAGGGACAAAGAGGCCCCCAGAAGGGCTTCTGCTCCCAGGCTGGAGGGGGATTGGATTGCGGCAGGAGTCAGTAGCCTCTCAAAGATGCCCTGCAGCCTGGTCTGCAAAGCCTGCCGAGATCAGGCCTCTGTCTTCCTCCTATTGTTCTCCCACAGGTATTACCCACTCCCCTTTTCCCACCCCCACCCCCATCCCCCGTTTTCCAACACTGCTGCATATGTTTATTACCTGGGCCTGAAACTTTCCTTCCTTGCTTGTCCACTAGGAAAACTCAAAGACTCCCTCCCTTTTATACAAAATTATCTCTTTCTCCATGCTTCCTGTGAATTTCCTACCTCTGTCACCCATTATCTCATTATACTTAATTAACTGTGTAATGATTATTATTTTATTAAGCGCACAGGCTCAGAGCCAGGCAAAGCTCCATTCAAATCCCAGGCTGCCACCTACTCTCCCTGTGATTTGGGACAAGCCGCTTAACCGCTCTGAGTCTGGTTTCTCCTGTCATACGAGGATTTAATTGAAATGAATTGATTCATAGTGGCTTTCACGTAAATGGTACCTAATCCTTCCAGATCCTTCCCTGTTCTTGCCTTCTTGGTCTCCCTAGCGCCTAGCCAGTACTGGTGTATGTTTGTTACATGCTCAGCAAGCACCGTGCACTTGGCTGCGAGGATGGATGACAGGTGGATGATGAGATCAGGAAGCCTCGAAATCAGCTCTGTCCGCTGCTATGTGTGTCTGCGCCCTGCACAGGACCTCTCCTCTCTAATGAGCAATACATGGTTGCAAAACTGCTGGTGCCTTTTCTCTGTCGTTAGTCATCTGAGTATACCTGTGGCCCCTGTCCTGTGTGAGACGAGACACGGGAGATCAGACTGTGTCTCCTTTTCCTCTCTCGCACGAGGCCTTGACCACACCTGCTATGACACATCGAGTCTGGGGCTCCTTGGCTTTCCCACTGAATTGTCTGGCACCTGGCCCTCTTTTCCTGGCATCTGGCTTCTTGGCTCGGGTGCCTCGTACTGTGAGTTCAGCAGCTGTAACGCTCCAGCTCTTATCTGTCACGCAGGCAGCCATGAGGGAAGAATGACCTGCTCTTTATGCCAAGCTAACAGAGAGATGTCAGCTACACCTGGGGGATGGGGCTTGATTATGCTAGAAGCCAGCCTTCCCTTTTTCATTTTATTATTTTAATTTTTGGTTAATCCTCAGCCAAGGATATTTTTCCATTTTTTAGAGAAAGAGTGGAGGGAGGGGGAGATACAGAGAGAGAGAGAGAGAGAGAGAGGGAGAGAGAGAGAGAGAGAGAGAGAGAGAGAGAGAAAGAAATATCAATGTGAAAGAGACACATCGATTGGTTGCCTCTTGCACCAGGACCATGGATCGAGCCTGCAACCGAGGTACGTGCCCTTGACTGGAATAGAAATCGTGGACTGCAGGGTTTGATGCTCCATCCATTGAGCCACTAGCTAGGTCAGTCTTCACTTTAAACAAGTGCTCTGGGCAAAAAAACCCCACAAAAAACCCACAAATAAAGAATAAGGTAATAAGCCAGTGAAATACCACCAGAATAGAAGATGTAGTAATTACTCCTGATGAACAAAAGACGTGCTATGTAGGATACATTAACTACAGGATTTAAACTGCCTTCAAGAGTGCAAGGAGGGGGTTGGGAGGACACTTTGCCCTGCCGTCCTGACTGTTGGATTAGGACGGCAGGGCACAAGTGTCCGCACAGCAGGCTGTGTGTAGCTTTCTGTTGTGTATCAGGCTGGTTCCATAAACCCTTTGGGTCATTTTGGCTTTGTTTGATTTAACTCACAATTGAATGTCCAAGATAGACTTCTCTTTCTTAATTAAGGCTTTCTCAGCCCAGTGCTGTCTGCGAAGAAAGCGCAGATAGGTGGGAAAGGTTTTTACGTGCTCTCAGAAGTTTCCAAGTTACGGGTTCTGTTTTTGAGGGATAGTCCCTTAGCAATATTCAGATGTACCCTTACAGATTCTTTCTCTGCTGTGTTGTGTTGTTTCTCATGTGTAGGAAAAGATTTAAACTCGGATCAGAACTGAGCTGACTTTTGCCCTTGCTGCTAATTTAAAGGCCCTTAGGTAATTCATTTTAGATGTCTGATCCCAGTTTTTCCTTATGGAGAGTAAATGACGATACCTAGTGCTAAGGCTTTATGAAGAATAAAAGAAAGGTCTCTATAAAGTATGAATAAGTGTGCAAATCTAAGAATTTGCTTTCATTTATTTTGATTGGGTTTATTTAGCTTCTTAGGTATAAGAATTCATCTGTCCTGAAAATTTTTCCCGCCATTTCTCTTTAAATATTGCCTCTGCCTCACTCTCTCTCAACTTTTTTTTTTTTTTATTTAAACACGGTTAAAATGTTAGACCTTCTCATTCTAGCCTCCAGGTCGGTTGCATTTCATATGTCCATCTTTGGTCTATTCCACATTAAATTGGAATCCCAAAGGACTCAACGTAAGGATAAACTAGAACTAAGCCTGCACGCCAAGCCAGGACAGCAGGAAAGATTGCCGGAGCGCCGAGAGGACCAGGGCAGTGAGGTAAAAGAACAGGAACACGTGGCATTCGCAGCCAGAGTTCTATCCCTCATGTGATCCATGAAACTCCAAGTTTAAGGTGTTGCAGACTGGCAGGGCCTCCAGATCCTGACAGAAGCAAACGCAAAACCTTTCTGGAAAAAGACATGACTTTCTCACTGATAACTTTTCAAGGAAATGAGACGCTGACAGTAAAAAATAACTAGCACACAAGGAAACCGGGCTCCATTAGTGAGAAGCATGAAAGATAACAGACAGCACAGAGGGCCTCCCAAAGACTTATGACATTGGAGTTACCAGACACAGTTTATAAAGCAATTATAGTTACTATAATTGTACTGTATGTATCATAGTTAAAAAATAAAAGACAAGATTAAACTATATACATGGAATATGGAACTATAAAAGTAAAATATTAGATTTGAAAGAACTTATCAGAATTAACTCAATAGGATTTATTATTATTTTTAATCCTATTTTTTCTTTCTTTTTTCTTTTTTTTTTTTTTTTAGAGAGAGAGGAAGGGAGGAGAGAGAGAGACAGAGACAAAGACGATGTGACAAACATTTCTCAGTTGCCTCCAATATATATACCCTTACCAGGGACTGAACCCGAAACCTGGGTATATGCCCTATCTGCATGACAGAATCCCTTGTGAGCGCCATGAAAATGACCCAGGCTACTTGGGTGCAGTGAGCTGTACAAACCTTGCCTTTTAACTGCAAGCTCTGTTGTTCTGGGAGCAGTGGTTTTTGGAGGTTAGTAACATGAGCTGTGAAGTCAGATATGAATTTTTAAAGCCCAATTCCCTATCTTAGTAGCTGTAATCTTAAGAGAGTTGTTTAACTCCTAAGCCTCAGTCTCCCACTATAAAGTGGGAATAATAGTAATCATACAGTGTTTCCCAAACTCTTGACATATGTGTACCCCTTCTATAATTTTCATAACGCTGAGTACCCCTCATACTCATGAGAATGTAGAATGAGGCGCAGCTAAGCACGGTGCAGTGCATATCCCCACCAAACTCCGGTGCAACGCGTACCCCCACCAAACTCTTCCCGTACCCTTGGGAGTATGCGCATCACACTTTGGGAAACACTGACCCAAGGATGACATTCAACATGTCCTGTACCCTTTTCAGTGTCTGGTAAACTGGGAAGGATATAGATCCACAATGAGACTTGAACCTCAGCTTGCCTCTTGTCCCATTCCCCAGATTTCATTTTCTCACTTACTCAGTAAATATTTCTTGATCACCAGCCGTGAGCAATGAGCAGGTCTTTGTTTGGTTTTTAAATAGGCTGGCTTGGAAGCCTAAGTGGAGTACGAAGAGTTCACAAGGGCTTCTCAGGCGCGGGGGGCACAGTAGAAGGAGCGGTCTCCGTTGCCCAGGGCAGTAGAGAACCTGGTATTTTCAGGGACACCAAGGTTACTATGAAAGCAGCAGGCAGGAGGAACTTTCACTGAAGAAGCTGAGGATGGAAAAGACCAAGGCTTCAGAGAACACAGTGGAAAGTCAGAGTATGGTTCAGGGGGGAGAGAAGTGGGAGAGAGGCCCACAAAGAAGAAGCAGAGAGCAGGGACTTAAGGATGAAGAAACTGACAAGGATATAAGTGAAGGAAAGAGCAAGAATAACCAGGATGCGAGGCTGGTGAGTTGGGTATTGCTGGTCTTTAGGCGCCTCAGAATTAATCTTGTGTCCCCTTGGGGGTGGGCACCCAGGCTGCTCAGTGCACTCAGGGACAGCCCAGTTGGATGATGCCTCCAGGAGGTTCAGGCCTGGTCCCTGGGAGGCTCTGGGTTCTCTGAGAGAGTTCAAAGTTAAGGGACCTGGCTACGGGCTGCTGCCCCAACATTAAGGTGAGCACTTCCTTATTCATTTAACAAATTTCTTTCTTTTTTTTAATATATATTTTTATTGATTTCAGAGAGGAAAGGAGAGGAAGAGAGAGAGAGAGAAATATCAATGATGAGAAAATCATTTATTGGCTGCCTCCTGCACCCCCCTCAACCCCCCACTAGGGATCAAGCCCGCAACCTGGTCATGTGCCCTTGACTGGAATCGAACCTGAGACTTTTCAGTCTTCAGGCTGACATTCTATCGACTGAGCCAAACCAGTTAGGGCTCAACAGATTTCTTGAACAATTGCCATGCATCAGGCCGTCGTCCATGTTCTGAGGCTATACCAGGGAATAAGATGGTTCATAAACAAAGTGTAATAAATAAGTAATGTTCTCACTGTGATGGAAGATGATA